AATACTTTCGCTGATGTGCTCTGTCCACCCTTTCCCCCATATGTACCAATCTGTATGGACCCTGACTGCTCCCATTGCCATAACCCTCTTTCCTGTGCAAATACCCTCCTTACATTTTTCTGGTTTTGACATCCATATAGACAAGTCCCTCATCCTATCAGCAGATGTGCTGCTTACACCACTAGGCCACCTCCACCCCCAGTGTGACCACCTGCCTTACCTCCGCTGGGGTCCCCACTCCTTGCCCAGACCACTTCCACAGATGCTAAGCCCTGTGCCAGAGCAGTCCCCTCACACTGCTGGGGCTCTCACACCCCACACTATGCCCTCTCCCCGAGCCCTGCCCCGACCCCTGCTGCAGTCGGATGTCTGCCTCTCCCGGGGAAGCTCAGATATCAGCCCAGGCAGCCCTTCTAAGTAGGCATTCTCCTCACTTGGCTTGGCTGTGACCCTCTCCTCTGGAGATGCTTACCCACATTCTGTGCAGGTGCCCACTTTGTTAGCCCTGCCTAATGGCTTTAGAAAGAAGATGGGATCCAAGTTCTCCAATCCTTCCATCACTCTTTTGTTCCTCGGCAAAGGACCCGGCCTGCCTGAAGGTTGTCATATATATAGGCTTTGGCACATTATGTATAATGGAGCAAAATTTAATGTTTATTATATTTGAATTATAATTGAAATTGTATTATATTTGAATTATAATTGAATTTTAATTTTTAAAAATTTTCCATTAAGGCAAAGAATCATTTCCATTTCTCCAACTTTGAAGTATGGTCTCTTGGTTGCAGAACTCATAAACAGACTCACCTACTCAGTCATTTGACAGAAGTATCAGTGGATGGCTGTAATTTATTCCCACTCATCTGACACCAAATGCAGTGGCGTATTTCTTCCCTAAATATATGCATAACAGTAACAATATTATACATAGCAGTAATAGTAGTATAACTCCATTCGGGTTCCCAGACCCGATTTTAATGTGCGTAAATATGTGGGAGGGGGTCTTCCCAGACATAACACCACGCAATTCTCGAACACCAGCAGGGTGTTGGAGAACGCAGCTCTATTCTGACGCCATCTGTTTGGAGACAGCACCGGATTCCCCAGGTTAGGGGCTCCGCTAAAACTGCGCTCCACCCCCAACTCCAGCTGCTGGTTGCAAGTCTCAGGCAGTTAGTTACCTGTGCTTCTGACCTACCAGCTACAGATTGGAAGTTCCCATGACCTCCCCCTTAGTCAATTAATTTGCTAGAATGGCTCACAGAACCAAATTTACTAGTTTAATAAAGGATACTGTAAAGGATACAAGTTAACAGCCAGATGAAGAGAGACAGAGGGCAGGGTCCCGAATAAAGGAGCTTCTGTCCTCGTGGAGCTTGGGGCCTGGCTCAGTGTCACGTGGAGGTGGTCTGGTTCCCCAGGCATGGAAGCGCTCCACGACCAAGAAGCAGGATCCAACCGAGCTGAGCAGAGGAGAGAGCGAGAGTGGAGAGAAAACAAAAGGCTCTTCTCGGGGTTTTGTGAGGCTTCATTGTATAGTCATGACTGACTAAATTATTGGCCACTGGCTCATTCAGCCGCCAGCCCCCAGCCCCTGCCATTGGGAGGTTGTCCAAAAGTCTCATTAACATGACAAGACACCCATTTCACCTATAAGACTCTGCAGTGTTTCTGGGAGCTGTGAATGAAGACCAAATACACCTGGAAAATACATATTTGGTCATTTGAGTGATCAAATAGGTATTTCTTATTATTCATCATATCACAGTGGTTCCTACTTAACTTAATGAGAATCAGCCTTTCATAGGAATATTTTTCTCATTTCTACTCTTTCTTATTTTATAACTCTTGAGAAATATAAATATCTAACCTGATGGGAACCCATTCTCCAGTTTGACTAAGCAATCATAATATTTAGTCGTTGCAGAATGACCTAGCTAGTATGTGTGTAAGAACATTTTGTAAATAAAGTGCTATCCAGTTGCTAAGGAGGTACTGCTGTTATTTGATGGTGCACCCTGCCACATCATTTTGTGATGCATAAATGGTGTCTAATTTGGAACATTTATTCTGTCAATTTTGTTCCTCCAGTGCCAGTGGTATCTGTATTTAATTTTGTTTGGTTACCACTGTGCTTACAGCAAGAAATGCATGACCATCCAGGCACTAACAAATAAGTAAGGAGTGTGGTGTTATTGGAGAATAGATTTAATTCTCAAGAAGTTCTGTTGAGAGCTGGACTGCCTTGGAGAGCAAGGAATTACAGAATCTTGGAATCAAAGCATCTTTGTGCTAGAAGGACCTTAAAGTTCATTTCTTTCAACAGACTTCCACCCCAGTCAGGATCCCCTCAGTAATACATGGGATGTTCTTTCTATCCCAGTGAGTATGCACCCTTCCTAGTCAGCCCACTCCATTTTGGCTTTTCCTTGATCCTTCTAGCTGCTCTTGGCATGGAACTCATGTGCTGGTATTCCAATACCAACCTAACACCGTGGGGGTTACAGGATATATTTAGCTCCCACTATGAACTTTTGTGAATTACAAAATCTTAAAATCTTAAATCTTAAAATCATAGCATCTGTGCAAGAAAGGAGCTGCCGAGAGATCTTTTCTTATAGAAAGCTGAAGTCTGCCTGCTGTTGGTTTCCTCCCAGGGACCCTCATTTCACCATTTGAGATCAAAATGAAAATATCTGCTGTTCTCCTGGTACTTCCATTCACTGTCAACATTTCAGTCTCCCCATCCCAAGAACCATCCTTGGGCCCTTCCAAGACTGTCATTCATTGCCACGTGAATCAGAAAGAGCAAGGAGTGGGCAGGAGGTGTGAGAAGTCTCAGACTTTAGGTACACTTCTCACAGCTGCCTCTGTGTTTTTCTCAGCTGGTATCACATGCCTCTGGGATGTGTTTTAACCCTCTGGGGGCAGAGGAGGCTCCCTTGCACTTGTGAAATCTTTTTCTTTTGTTTTCCTTCTACTAGGGGTGCAAAATTCTTCCTCCTCTTTTGTCCTCTTTGTGACATCCCTCCTTTTTCCTCATGATACGGGCTTTCATTCCCCTTGTTTATCTCATTATTTGTTCACAGACCACTAGGTGTTCTTCCTTCTCCTAAAGTCCAAATTGCCAGGCACCTAGTGGGTACCATACATATTGAATAGGAGGAAATGAGTAGCCTCATACTTCATACCTACATATAGTTGCAGTGTACACAGTTTTCTGTGTCACATCTTGCCCATTTTTGGGGATAGAGTGTCATGCACAGAATAATCATGCAGTAGTTATCTATGTAATTGAATTAGAAATCCACACTCACCTGCCCTAATGTTCTTCCCAGGTTTCCATGTTCTTTGTGGAATTATTTTCTAGTTGTCCCAAGTATAAATACATATGAACATTTCAGAACTCTCAATATATATAACAGTGGCATGACACCCTAGGACAAAATGTAGATTCATGATAATGGCACTTAAATTCTTCGCAAAAGTTTATTCCACGCTGAGATGTGGAACACCTGCCTTTTAAATATTTCTGGGACTTTAAATAATCCTATGGAATTAGTGAAGCATGACTGTCATAAAGTAGGTCCTTTAACAGTAAGTGTTAAATGAACTTGTGAGTAAATTAGTAATGCCCCACATATTGGAAAAAACATTATATGGTCTTTTTCTAATAGACCTTTTCTTTTCTACTATGCACACAAGAATGAAAGTATATCTTTCAGATAAAAATTTGTCTCCACTTAATGCAAGAATCTGCATCTGGGTGATGGGTACATTCCAATTAGAGATGGACTTTCTTTTGATTATAAATAATATTGTCAGAATTCATACCTGAAAATAGTTTAATCACATTATATGGAGAAAATAAAGCCTTTAAACTTAACATTAAAGATCACACAATGGCAGTACAGTAAGGAGAAAGGAGAGGGAGACTCGATACACAGCCACACATAGAAGGGAAGGCAGCCACGTGATGACTGAAGTGACGGAGCTACGAGCCAAGGAACGCCGACTGCCAGAATCTAGGAAGAGGCAAGGAAGGCTCCTTCCCTACAGCCTGCAGAGTGAATGTGGCTCTGCTGACACAGTGATTTCAAATTTCTACCCTCCGGAATTGTGAAAGAGTGAATTTCTACTGTTTTAAGCCACCCAGTTTATGGCAGTATGTTATGGCAGCCTTAGGAAACTAAGACAGTAAACTTGGAAGGAGCAGGGGTGACTCTGGAATAAAGGTCAGTTCACCCTGATTCGCGGTGTTCTTAGTTCTCCTGTCCGGGCCGTCAGTAATGGGGGACTTAGACGTCCTCAGGGACTTTATTTCTTCATTAGTTCTACTACAGTTTGCTGCCCTTAGGACTTTGCTTCTTGCTCTTCTAATTCTCTAAGTTGTTCTCACACAACTCTTACACAAATCATTTGTTCTCATATCTCTTACACTTTCAGAAACTTGGCCCTACTCTTCCACTGTTACTGTGCTGCTACTTCTCTTTTCTAGGTTTTTGCCTCTGGACATAGGCCCTGTCCTAGTACTTCTGTTACCTAAGTGGTTGTTTATTTTCCTCAGTTCTTGTCCCATTGCAACAAAGAATTGAAGGGCAGAGACAGTAGTGAAGCAAAGTAAAAGTTTTGTTTAAAGTTATACACTTAAAGAGAGAAAGTGCAGGTGACCTCAGAGAGGAGGCACACTGAAAGATTGGCAGTTCCCCCTTTTAAGGATTTTTCAGAAATGTGACAAAGAGCTAGGGAATTGGAATTTTGATAGGTATTGCATTGAATCTATAGATTACTTTCTTAATATTTTTCTTTCAGTATTATCTATTACTTGGATATTTGATAGAATATTCTTGTAAAACTCTCTGGGCCTGTGTTTGTTTGGTGTTTATTCATGATTAGATTTCAAATTCTGATTCAGTTCCCTTTGTTGTTATTGTTATTATGTCTCTCCCAATCTATGAACATGGGCTATCTTTCCATTTGTTCAGATTTTTAATTTTTTAGTAATGCTTTGTAGTTTTCAGTGTACTAGTCTTCCATTTCCTTAGTTATTTATTCCTAGTTGTTTTATTCAAGTGAGGTTATTAAAATAAAATATTTTAGGCACATAAGGAATTACAGTGTAAAGAACACTTCTATAATCACAACTCAGTCTAAGAAATAAAGCTTAACAAATACAACTGAAGTCTCCCTGACTACATTTGCTTTCTTTCCTCAGAAGTAACTGCTGTCTTAAATTTAGGGTTTATCATTTCCTTACATAGTGTGGGAGGCAGAATAATAGCCCCCCACAAAGATATCCACATTCTAATCCTTAGAACCTGTGAGTGTATTACTTCCATGGCAAAAGAGTCTACAGATGGGGATCAAGCTAAAGTTAACTTGAGATGGTGAGATTATACTTGATTATCTGGGTGGGTCCAATGAAATCAGAAGGGTCCTTATTAAGTAAAAAGAGGAGGCAGGTCCTCTTGTAAATACATCTCTTCAAGGGCCAGATAAGCCCAGGTGTCTCCAAGGCACTGGGGCACACATCTCCTTGAAAAGTAAATTATTAGGGATCTTCCTGGCAACTTGTGTGCTTGATTTAGGGGACTAGGCCAGACTATAATCATTTGGCCTCCTTGGGGAGACAAGAGAAATTTTATTATCTTTTTAGATCAGAGATATTAATTCAACAAATGGCTACAGATCTAATCCCCATAGATGTGGAAAGTAAAATGTTTGTGAAGAAAGTGAAGACAAAACATTCCCTTTATATCATACAGATTTCTATGTCTCCAGAGGCTAGAGTTTTTTAGAGGAACACTGAGAAATCCAGGGAAGATAAACTTCCTCACATTGATTTATCAGTAATTTGGAGTTTGGATATAATCTGTCATCATGGTTGTGGATTTGTTAATTTCCCTCATATCTTTGCGGCTGTCTTATTAGAGGCTTACACATATACAATTATATATCTTCAGTGAAGTGTTTGAATTATTTTCTTTATAATGTAGTGACCCTTTTTATCAGATAAGTTTTAAAAATCTACCTGAAAAAAACTCACATGCCTCAACACCCAAAAAGCAAATAACCCTATTAAAAATGATTTTATTGAAGAGCCTTCCACAAATTAAAAAATTGAGATAGGCATCACATTTACTTCCTTTAAAAATCAAGGTCTAGTCCATCAGTAGATGAATGGATAAAGAAGATGTGGTACATATACACAATGGAATATTATTTAGCCATAAGAAGAAAACAAATCCAACC